ATTTTTTCATTGGCTCATATGAAGATGGTTTCACCCAACAAAATAACTCATCTCCAGTGTTTTTAGGAAGGTCATAGAACAGAATATAGAACATTCAACGTTACGTCGTCTGTTTTTAAGTTATTCAAGTTATTATCTTTACATCTTTATACATTTTATTAAATTTATACCTTTAATATAATTTACCTCTGAACTCTTATTCCTGTCTTTTAAAAACAAGAAAAATATTAAGAGTTTGGAGCTGGTTACAAAACGAGAGAGAGAGGAGCTTCGGAAAATACCTGGATTTCAATTTTCTGGTCGTCAATGAATTTTCAAGAAGGCTCGTTTGCTGTCATGTTGAGCTTTTTGTATTTTCACACAAAGCTCGGCTGCTGTAAATGTGTATTGGCATTTTGAAGACTGTATCCACCATCACAGACATATAGTTTACCTGTTATAACACATCTCTCTCTCTGCATTTTGCATCTGTAATAATGTTGTATTATTTCGCAACCATGTCATGAATTCAGTAAGACTTATTAGATACCCAAAGACTGCCCAAAGACTTTATGATTCTGTGAAACAGAATTTAACAGCTCCAGAAGATCAAGAACGTAGCAACTTATCAATTTGTTGCGGTAATTGTGAAACTATGTTCAGAATATGTCCATGAACATACTCGCACAGGATTGGCTGAGACGCTGTACACAGCCGTTTGCTGACTGGCAGTGCCTGAAATTAGATGGAAAGCTCAGGAGCTAACACTATAGCACTGTATAATTGTTGGCTGTTGAGGTATGTCAGCAGCCCCCCATCTTTTCTTTTATTGTATTGAAAGTTTATTCGCCAAATCAATACAAATCACAACAACAGTCTCCAAGGCGACTGTTGTTGTGATTTGGCGTTATATAAATAATAGTGAATTGAATTGAATATTCACTGCTAACACCAGGTGCACTCGCTCCTTGTGTTTCCTACCTTTACTCATGTTGTGGTCCATGATATCATTCAGCTGTCTCCTCAGTAAGTATTTTGACCCACAATAAGACAAAAATTCAAGTCCAGCATCGTGGACTGCAGCAGTTGGAATGCGCTTCGTGTTCATTGAAATTCAACAACAGGAAGAAGCTCATCAGGCAGGCTTAAATATGCTCAAGTATTTTTTTTTTAAATTTAATGGCATTTGCCAAAAAATCTCCAGATATAGAAATATACAAATATTTGCTAAAGTGGATCCATTACAGATGTTTGCTAATGAATTGTAAACACTGTTGTATTGTGTTGAAGTCAGAGCTGTAGATTTTTGTGTCACCGTCATTAAAGGCCTCATTCTCCTCTTTGGCTGTTCTGAAGATTTCATTGTTATGCAGAACAGCACCATCTATTCATGTGTCTGTCACTGTGTTCTTTTCCTTCACCATCGAGCTCCTCGTCGAGCTGTTGCAGAGCAGAGAGAACAGACAGCCTTGGTCACAGTTCTCTCTGGTCAGGCTCTGA